TTGTGCATGAGTATTATATTCCAGTTCATATTCCATGAGTAAAGCTAAATCTTACACTGCTTGGATCACTCTTTGCAGACCATTGAGAGTAGTCTTCGTGAAAATTCAGAATGTATGAAGTCTTTCTTAGCAAGTTTGGTATGTTTAATAATTTTTTGCTTAGTCCTACATTCTTGATCATAAATTATAGTATGATTAGTTTGACCAAAGCACCACATTTGCAGAATCTTGTGGACCTTGCAGGAAGTGAACGTGTCTCCCAGACAAATGCTGAGGGTGCAAGATTAAAGGAAGCTAGTCATACTAATCGCAGCTTGTTGACACTCACAACAGTGATTAGAAAGCTGAGGTTAGCTAAATCCATCTCGGGCCTTTGCATGCAGTTGTAGAATTAAGAAATTATTTCAAGAAAACTTTTTGGTCCCATGTCATTTTTGTATGCCAATGAATGATTCTTCATGTCAACAAGTAGGTACGTTAAAAACCTTAAAATGTACGTATGATTTTTTTTGTGGGAAATTGGAGTTCACAGGAATCTTGCTTTTCTTGGTTTGTTTGTGTATAGTGGTGGAAAAAGAAGTGGTCACCTACCATATAGAGATTCAAAACTTACACGGATACTGCAGAACTCACTTGGGGGGAATGCTCAAACAGCTACCATATGTACCATAAGTCCAGCTTTAAGTCATATGGAGCCAACTAGGAATACTCTCTCTTTCGCAACTAGTGCAAAGGAAGTTACCAACAATGCCCATGTAAATATGGCAAGATAAGTAGGTAACTAGTGAAAATTCTTTATGTTGTAATATTGGACTGTTTTGAAGTTAATCTTATGGTGGCACCTCCTCAATGTGTTGGTCTCAACTACTAGTGCAAAGAAGGTAGAATATAAGAAAATATATATAGAGATGGACTTACTCCATGTATGTAGAATGGCAGCTACCTCTGTTTGTTCTTGGGGGTTTTTTGGTTACTGAAGGAACTAGAAACTAGGTTTTTGAAACTATTCTCTAAGGTTACATGTTTAAAGCATGCTTCTAAACAAAATACATGTCTGTCTGATGTGCCAAGTAATTTAACAATTTTGATGTTATCACTAAGTATTATGCAGTCTGCAAAGGTGACTGTGCTCTTCATTCTGATTACTCATTTTGGGTCTGACAAACTTCTTTATTATTCTTTGTGAGCTTTCATCACAGGTTAGTAAAGTATTTGCAGAAGGAAGTGGCAAAGCTTGAAGCTAAACTACGAAGTCCAGAGCCTTCTTCTGCTTCATGCTTAAAGTCTTTATTGATGGAAAAGGAAATGAAAATCCAGGAGGTATACATAAATGTTTCATTAATAAATGTTTCATTAAGAAAGCAGAAAAAACTATTCTTCTTCTATAAGAGTTGTTTTGTCATAAGGATTATGCTCGTCATTTTAATTTAATTGTTAAAAATAACTCTTAACTTGCAGATGGCAAGGGAAATGGAAGTGTTAAAGCGCCAGAGAGACATTGCACACTCCCAACTAGAACAAGAAAGAAAATCACGGAAGGTACAAAAGGTAAATATTAGCTAATTATGTTATCTATTTTCAGTTCCATCATTTTGTCACTCTCATCTTGTTATCATTTTAGGGATTGAACCAATGTGGGCCTTCTGGCCAAGTAGTCAGATGTCTCTCTTTTCCAGTTGAGAATGAGCCAGTTCCAGGTGCTCCAGATGCTCGGCCTAGGAAAACAGTTGGAAGACATTCAACACTAAGGCAGTCAGCCACCTCGACAGATCCATCTTTGCTTGTGCATGAAATTCGGAAACTTGAGTAGTGACACAGGCAGCTTGGTGAGGAAGCAAATCGGGCACTTGAAGTACTACATAAGGAGGTTTCTTCCCACAAGTTAGGGAATAAAGAAACCGCTGAAGCAATAGCAAAGATGCTGTCCGAAATTAAGGATATGCAAGCAGCTACTCTATTCCTGAAGATATTATGATTGGGCATGGGACCAACTTGAAAGAAGAGATCACTCGGTTGAACTCTGAAGGCAGCACTATTGCATCATTAGAGAAGAAGCTTGATAATGTTCAGAAATCCATAGACATGTTGGTTTCATCTCTTTCAAATGGTGAAGAGATGCCAGAGCTCAAGACCAAATTGAAGAAGAAGAAAATTCTTCTTTTCAAGTTGAATAACAGCACAAACATGCAAAAAATAATACGGGCTCGATGCTTACTATTTGTTGGGAATATTGACTCAAATCCCATAAGAGATTTGTTAGAGATTTGTCAGATATTGCTTGATAGACAAGAAGATTTGCAAAAGAAGAATTTCAAGAGAAAGAGGATTCTTAATAGGTAAGTTTGACTTGCAAGAGAAGAATTCTAAAAGGAAATGGATTTTTAATAGGCAAGTTTGACTTACAAGAGAAAATTTCTAAGAGGAGAGAGATTCTTAATGGGCAAGTTTGTATGGTTATAAATAGGTGAAGTCTCTACTGGATTAGGTATGAGAAAAAGATGTAAGAGAGTTGTAGGGTTTTGTGGGATAAACACCCCATAGGAGTATTGGGGCTTTACGTCTTATGGGTGTGTATGTTTGTTTGTGAGTGGACTAGAGGAGATTGAGAGGGTCCACATAGGTATGATGTATGGGAACATATGGGTATGTGTTTGGTTGTGTTGAAAAGGTGCACAAGAGTTTGGGTTTGTATTTGTTTGGGTAGAGAATACTTCATAGGACTAGAGGAGATTGAGAGTGTCTTATGAGTATTGATTGTTGAGTGGGGTTGATGATATGATGTATGTTTGTAATTCTCTACAACTAGTGGATCTTGTTTCTTATCCGTGGATGTAGGTCAGTTGGATCGAACCACGTTAAATTGTTATCTCTTGTGTGTTTGATTTGTTGTTTGATTTTGCTTCCGCTGATGTGATTGGATTGGAGACTTTTAGCCCAACAAATGGTATCAGAGCTGTGGTGTTCCCCAACACCATTATCTTCTTTTCAGAAGATAATGGAACATGAGATTGAGAACAAGGCCCCCCAGGATAATGAAATGATCTTTCATAGCCATAGATCGCCTGGCTCATTTAAAACTACTCCTCCAAAGGCTGATGATATACACGTCTCATCAAGAGAGGAAACTCCCTCTACGAGGCAAACCAACTCAGTTGATGTGAAGAAAATGCAGAGGATGTTCAAGAATGCAGCTGAGGAGAACATTTGCAGCATTAGAGCTTATGTCACTAAGTTGAATGAACGGGTTGCAAAACTACAATATCAAAAGCAGCTTCTGGTTTGCAAGGTGAGAACTGTCTCACATTTTTAGTCATCATTTATTGTATTTATGTTGAGTATTAGCTACCATCATGATATTGATATTTTTTAAAAAAATGCTCTGTTACTCCACCATTGGTTAGGTGTTGGAGCTGGAAGAAGAAAACGAGGCTGGAACAGATGACACAGATAGTATTCCTAAATCTCCAATGCCATGGCACATAGTGTTTGAGGATCAGAGGAAGCAGATTGTCATGCTATGGCACTTGTGCCATGTTTCAATTATACATCGTACGCAGTTTTATTTGTTGTTCAGTGGAAACCCACCTGATCGGATAGATATATATGGAAGTTGAGCTTAGAAGGTTGACATGGTTGGAGCAGCACTTTGCAGACCTTGGCAATGCAAGCTCTTCTCTTTTAGGTGATGAACCTGCAGGTTCAGTAGCATCAAGGTTAGTTAAGTCGGTTTCTACTGCATAGGGATTATAATAAATGTTCTTGTAAAGGTTGATTGAGATAATAATCCTTGTTTCCATGATTTTTTTTTTTTTTGGAAACCTCTTCATCTGAAAATTCATATTGTTGCTTGGTGTTGAATGCAGCTTCAAGGCACTTAAGCAAGAAAGAGAGTATCTAACTAAGAAGGTGAGCTCAAAACTGACAGTAGAGGAAAGACAAATGCTGTATTTGAAATGGGAAGTTCCAGCAGTAGGAAAACAGAGAAGGTTGGAACTGGTTAACAAATTATGGACAGACCATCTGAATATGCAACATGTGCAGGGTAATGCTGAAATCGTTGGCAAACTTGCTGGCTTTTGCGAGTCTGGTGAACATCTTAGCAAGGAGATGTTTGAGCTAAACTTTGTCAAGCCTTCTGATAAGAAGTCATGAATGGAGTGGAATTTGATTTCAAATCTCTTGCATTTGTAAACAAAAAAACATGTTTACTCCTACTGATTCTTTTGTCAAACTAGATGTTAAAACTCTGCTGGCATCTCTCCCTTGTAAATTTACCTACGAAATTGAACTAGTTGTAGTCTAACTTATAGCGAGAACATGACTTACAGTGGCAAAAACTTCTGAATTTAGAATATTCTTGTACAAGTTTTCCAACCTGTTCCATCAAGTGTTGATTTATGTTCCTCAATTATCCAAAAATTTTCCAATTGGAATTCTCTCAATCATTGCAACATTCTAGTGAAATTTCTCAAATTTTGGATTTTGGGTGTTTCAATGGATTAAGAGATGCCAAAGGCCATAATAATATGAAGAAATTTGAAAAAAAACAATCCTTTTATTTTGGTTAGATTGCACAATTTATTTATATGTACTTATTTATTTTATGTTAAATATTTATAAAATATAAAAATTATTATATTATGATTTATTTTAATATCTTAAATACGAAACACAATTTTTTATTTTTTTTCCAAATTCAAATATAATTTTTTATTAAATATTTAATCATTTCGTTTTCGTATTTCTTTTATCATTTTCACATCTTATAATCTAATAAGGTTTAAAATTATCATTTGACCATTGAACAAAAAATTAAATGAAGGGGTATAATAGTACTTTTATCTATTTCGTTGCTAAGGGTGGCAAGTTGCAAAGGCTTTAACTTCACCCTAATTAAACCCTCTCTCACTCGTTCTCTTGCTGTCTCTGGATGTGCCGTTGCTGAACCTGAAGCCCACATTCGCGAACTTAACAGTTAGACAAAGAAACAACAACAAAAAATGAGAAGAGAAAGAGAAACTCCAAAACAGCAACAACAACAGGTTTCTTACACAGTGGAGCACCTTGTGGCTGTTAATCCTTACAATCCCGACATCCTCCCTGATCTCGAGAACTACGTTAATGAGCAGGTCCCTCTCTCTGTCAACCAGTCAGTTCTTTTGATTATAAATTTTCATCATTTCGGATAAATTTATAGTTTTTTTAAAAGAAAAAAAATGGTTCTTTTACGCGTTTGATTTAAACCTTTTGAGAATCTGGATTTTGGGTCTTCTATTTGGTCGGATGAAGTTAGAGTCAGCTTTGGTTTGGTTGGATACTGGGCATTACGGCGACCTGAATTTGATTGCTTTTTCAGTCTTTTCTATCTGCCAATGAAGACGAAATTTAAAAGAAAAAAAAAAAAAAACCAACAGCTTCTTATCATTCGCTGTTAGACTCTTAGATTGAATTGATATAAGATCCTCTGTAAGTTTGATAAAACATTTACGTTTGCATTCGGGTCCTCTAGCCGTGAACATGGCAGGATAATTTTTTTTGTGTTTGAATGCTATTTATTTAGGCAAGTCCCTTCAATCTGTTCTTAATGCTTGAATGGAAAAACATGTTCCAAGTTGGAAACAAGAAAGGAAAACTCACATAAAGGGAAAGTTGCTAAAATGATAACAATTTTTATGTTTACCAGGTTTCATCCCAAACTTACAGTCTGGACGCTAACCTCTGTCTTCTTCGCCTCTACCAGGTACTTTCATTCTTTCTTCTTCTGTCTTGTTTGGCGCTGTGTGTGTATATGTATGTGTGAGAGAGAATGGAAGAGAGACAGCACACCGAGCTCTATATTCTCATAGAATGTAATTTTTTTATAAGGTTTAATTTACCATTTGCATTTTAGTCTCATACTGCTCAATATTTCCTGTTTAGCCTGTCTTATGAGGGAAAAAGATGAAATGCAATTCGGCTTAAATATTACTAGTTTTTTTAGTTGTTGCTAATATGTTATATTCTTTGTCCCTGTAGTTTGAGCCTGAGCGTATGAGCAACCAAATTGTTGCACGCATTTTGGTTAAGGTATGTATAGGCCCTTTCCTATACCAAATTAGAATTATGTATCAGCTTATTAGTATGAAGTGTTGTTTCTAATGTTTTCTTTTCCTCCTTTCCCCCCGCTATTTTTTTGGCAGGCCCTCATGGCAATGCCGGCTCCAGATTTCAGCCTTTGTCTGTTTTTGATTCCAGAGCGAGTGGTATCATTCTCACAGTTTATATTCCCTTTTAGCTTTCCATTTCAACTGCATTCGGACATCAGTAATTAAGCATGTTTGAATGGGTATTAGCATAGGCTGCCTGCCTTGGGTCTTGGGCTTCATCAAGTTTTGCATTAAATTATAACAATCTAGACCTTCTAAGAGGTCAGGACCCTACAAGTGAAGTCCTAGGAAAATTGGGAAATAATAGATTATTGTTATCCAAAGAATTTCACTAAATTCTTGTGTTATTAAAATACTTTAATCGTTGCAGTAACTATGAAGATATATACACTTTTCTTGGTTAAACTTGAAAATTCTGCCTATGTCCTTAAGCAGTGCGTAAATCCTGCTTATTTCTATTTTAAGTAAGTCATGATAAGTTAAATAATTGACGTCTTAAGTATTGCATATGCTTGCACTTGTGAGAATTATTTATTTAGCTAAGCACATCCATGAGTCAAAGAGATCATCGAAAAATCAACAAATTATTCTTTTGCTTTCTATTTCATCATTCCGTCTTTACCAGCAAAAGATTTTGCCCGATGGTAAGAATCAAAATCTTTTGCTATTCTAAGTAACATTTTTGTATTTAATATCAGCAAATGGAGGAGCAGTTCAAGACACTGATTGTTCTCTCCCACTATCTGGAGGTATGTATTTGTGTTGTAAGTAATTAATGAAGGTAATGAGATGGACGATTTCTTTATATCTACTTCATTTCCAGACAGGAAGATTTCGTCAGTTCTGGGATGAAGCAGCTAAAAGTCGTCATATAGTTGAGGCTGTGCCAGGTAATAATAAACTGTGATATAGTGAATTTGATGTTTTCTGAAGTCCATGCATTTTCATTTGAGTGGATGAACAATGCTTCAGCCAAAAAAAATGCGCAGTGCTGGTTTTTAAGGAATGATTGCAAGTGGTCAGTCAAGTGGTTCACTGTTATCTTTTTCATTGATGTGGTGTGCCACTGGTGGAGACAGTCTTTTATTGCTCTTATTTTGTTATGACGCACACTTTTTTTGGTCCTTTTGAAGTGTATGTGGCTTACCATAGGGATTGAATGCAGGCTTTGAGCAAGCAATCCAGTCATATGCCATTCATGTCCTTTCCCTGACTTATGAAAAGATTCAAAGACCCGTACTTGCTGAGGTATGTAGAGCTCATTTACGTGCAATTCGAGGATGTTGTGATTTGGCCATCTACCTTCCCTTACTGGTTATACGTCATATGTCGGATTTATACTTTGATTTGGATGTGTGACAGGCTATTAACATTGAAGGCCTATCCTTGGACAAATTCCTTGAATACCAGGCGGCCAACAGTGGTTGGATTCTTGAGAAGGGTCATGGCAGGGGTCAACTGATAGTTTTACCTCAGAACGAATTTAATCATCCTGAACTGAAGAAAAGTGATGCTGATAGCGTTCCATTGGAGCACATCACCCGTATTTTCCCAATTCTTGGTTAACTTCTTGTACGGATGAGGACTTCTTTTGGAGTTAATTCCCCATGTTTCAATAACAAGAACAAGCTACTTTAAGATAGACTTCTCAACCCATCTCAAAGGGTTTTTCACTTATTAGAATATAGTTATTTATTATTTATCATCTTGGATTTTCTAATGGCAAAGCTAGAATGAATCCCTTCCAACGATTAATTTCTTTGAGAAGTGGAAGTTTAAAACTAAAAGCAGTTGATTTGTCATTTAAGTGGAAACTGCCCTGTTTCCATTCTCAATCTCTTGCTGTTATTCAAACTATCTGCTAACTGCTTGGTTACACGTCAATTTCTAGTGAGATGGGGAGGGGAATGGTATTTAGATTATCAAAAAGGTTATAAAGATATTTTTAAAATCAGTGTTTTTATATTTTAGTAATTTTTTGTTATTGAATAATATTCATATGAATTATTGAAAAGTATATAACCTCTTACTAAAAGTTACATGAAGGGTTAAGTAAAATAATAGTATTTTTCAAAGTTTTTGGTTTTGTACATTAAAAATATTAAAGAATCTGATATATATTTTTAGATTTAGTAACATCATACTAAAAAATTTTATACATTTAGTAGCTTCCTATTTAATATTTAATATTTCCTTCAAATTATATGTTGTTGAATATTGGTAGAAGTCACTGACAACTGAGGTTACGCATTTCTTGGATTGTTGTGGTATGAGAAGTTTATAGTGCCAGGTTTGCTTTTAAACTCTAATATTTCTTACACAGGTAAGATAACAAAGTGGGCGTTTGGTCTAGTGGTATGATTCTCGCTTTGGGTGCGAGAGGTCCCGAGTTCGATTCTCGGAACGCCCCTCAGAAAAGTATTTTTGTTTTTAGTATAAGAAATATGCAGGAATGACGTGGATGTTTTTGTCTTTTGTGAGAAAATAAAGATAAACAAAAGAGAAAATAATCGAAACTTTAAAAGAGATCTTTTCTTCTTTTATTATTATTTTTTTTGGTCTATTTTTTTGGGACTCTTCATATTATCATCAATGGACAAATCGACAAAAGCACAGATCCTTAATAAAGTGACCGCAAAAACGACAGGTTATCGTAAGTTGAGCCTTGACAAGACAACAGAATCAAATAGTAGATCCACTAACACTTTTGCAGCTCATGGTCACGGGTCCTGAGGTGACTGTTGCCTCCGAGAATACGACCCTGAACCAGCATGCCAGCGGCCAGCCACGGCGTGGCCTTTTGACACATGGGCTGGGCTAGCAACATAAACCGAATTCCACTCAGCCCAAGTATCTAGTCTTAGGCCAAAAATCTGGAACAGTGCCCAGGAACCTACCTCTCTTTCCCGCTTTCCATAACCTCCTGAAAGAACACTAGGAAAGATAGAAACTTGTTCACAAATTGAATGACTGACGATATACTAGAGATTGTAATATGAACATTATGAAAATGACAATCAATGTCGCATCATTTATGTAACTCAAATTTATGGTCAATTTGCAACAACAGTATTTCTTTTCTTGGAGTTGTTCACAATTATGTGCTGGAACTTAGAACAATGTTACTATTTGTTTTTATCAATTTAAGGAATGTCATCACTTTTAAGTGATAACGGGTAATTAAACTGTTACGTTATTTTCACAATGAAGAGAGAGTAAAACGTAAACGTTTATAGAAGCAACAGTTTCAATATCAATCTTCTCCTCGTCCGAACAATAGATGACCGAAGATACGAACTTAAAGAAGCTGCAAAACTTAAAGACGCTGCAACCATCGAGTAATTAAGGCCCAAGCCACTGCCTAGTTTTCTGTTACTTATAGACCATCAGAAACCGACTATTGAACCCAAAGATTGTTTATTAAAATACATAAAAAAGAAGTTGAAATGAAAAAACCAATGGCTTGGAAAACAAACCCCAGGAGGCTGAAAATTAAAGCTCTAGATCTTCACAGCTTAAAGGCAACATCAGTCTTATAACTGGTCCTTCCTCCAAAAACCTTTTGACTGCAACGCTAGTTAAGGAAATAAAGAATCAATGACCTGAAATCCTAGAATGTGGAGCTCTTTGGAAAGCAATAATATTTACAAGACTGCTGCTATTTCGTCCATTCACGGAAGAAGGAATTAGAAAAATGGATGAGCTCCAGAAAGCATTTCTTTTTAACTGTTGAATATTTACTCTTTTGTACGAGTATCAATTTCTGGTTGAGGCTTTTTCAAGAAGGAATCAATGCTGTAGTCATACATGAGGGCCAAAACGACTGCTTGAGGCTATCTTACATAAGAGTACCCGTACAACTGGTTCAGCTCTCCCTTTCGCTAGCTAAATTGGTTTCCGTTGACAGCTTGCATCAATGCGGCAGCTTGAATTGGTGAAGGCGTGGACATATATGTCATCAACTCGAGGAAAACGAGCAAAAGTTTAATGGCAAAGCATCTGTCCATAGTCCACCCAATGCACAAAACTATCAGAGAATTCCTCAAGAACATTATAATTCTGCGAATTAGCAAAGGATAGCTCAGTTCCTGTCGGCAGTGATCCCTACATTATACATAACAAAGGTTAGCCATTATCTTGTGCACGAGACAAACTCACAACTGCACTTTCTAGTTTTCAAGGAGTTATCCGTCTAGAGTAAATGTTTTTAATCCGATGTCTTAACATGTTTTTCTTTTCTTTTCTACCATCACTTGCTTTTTACTTTCTGTTCATCTATATTATGATACTGCATAAATGAAAGAAGCACCAACTTACTCTCACGGAAAAGAATAAAATTTTATTGAGAACTCTACTAAAGAATCAGAACGTGTAAAAGGAGGCAGTTTCAGTTTGATCGAGTCCATAACAAAACTTTGAACTATATTTAGTGTCTTTTTCTCCTTTTTTTTTTTTTTTCTAATGATAAGATCTATATATAGTTTACACTAAAATATAACCATAAAAGTAAGATCTCAAGAACTTTCTACCAGCATTACAAGTACCAACCTTCATACTCGATCCATATTCACTAGTGGATGGGGTTGTTTCTTCCAATATTCCATTGACAACATTCTCTGATGAAAGCCCAGCAACTGGAGAGCTTGTAAGCACTGATGACCTGCAGATATCTATGTCAATTACTGAACTGTATTTTACTCTCATTATTTATACACAATTTATACCATAGTTTTATAGTGATTAAAAAAAATGAGAAAACAGGCCCACTGCTCTCAAAAATGCAGAATGTCTGTCCCTACCTTCCATGTACAACCTTATAGAACAAGTTGTGTAAGAGCAGTGCCCTTTTTATGTGTGTGCATCCATGCTGGTAGATATTACAGTACTATTTCAAGGTTCTTTTTTTTTTTTTTGGGTATGTCAAGAGACTCTTGCTAAGCCCTATCTTGAATGGCAACTATGCGGTGGGACCGAGGAACGACAGGTTCAATTGCAAATAATAACATAAATCACTTTTGGGTTTTAAGTTAGTAGCTCTTTTTGCCATACAGCTAAAAGTTTAAGCATTTGTTATGTGAATATCTCATGCTACTGCAGCCTTCAAGGTTGAGTTTTAGAACATCCATGAATTATATAGAAGGAAAAAGTACCTTTCAAATGGTTCATCCTCGCATGAATTTCCAGAGGATGAAAGCCAGTCTAGGTCAACGAAGTTAGAGCAATTGAATCCATCCCTGTGTTCAGAGAAGAAAATGTGATCAGTTTCAAGACAGCGATCTCTTTGCACATCTCCAAACAGATGCCTTCGAGGCATTGAGGGCATATACCTACACAGAATTTGAAGATAACCATATCAATCAAGAAATTTAATGGAATAACCATAAATATAACATGCTACAAGAGATCCATTAATTACAGTAAACCATGAAACTTATGGTTCCAACAGCTGATTCAAGCAGCAATTTTTAAACAAAAATTTATGAAAGGATTGGTACAAAACAGTAGCTCAGACAAACATGCAGATTAAAGATTACAAGATTCATACGAATGAAGCTGCGGATTCCATCTCATCTCCCAAAAGTTTATGGAGAATCGGCAGCCATGGCCATCAATTAGAAACAAATACACTTTAAAGTAGAGGACAAGCAACAATGAAAATAGAAAGCAAGGAACCTTGAATATGATATATCACTTTCACAAGTTGATATCTCAGGTGATGACTCCAAAAGGCCATTACTTCCTCCTTGTGATTGGTGAGGCAAAGTTGAATTGGTAAATTTCTCTTGTTTGTCATTTGTTGCTGACATAGGTGACCTACTTGGATGAAGAATGTTTCCATCAGAAAAGGATCTTTTGAAAAGTGACCTGAAATTAAGGATTATAAAATGAAGAGATAAGCAGCGGTGAGTTCCTCTTCCCAAGTGTCAAAAGGGTAGGCAAAATAATCAGATAGAAAATACACAGTCAAAAACCAAGATAAAGAAGAAAATGAAACACAAACAAAATGCTCATAATCAATATCATATCTATATATAACCTATTACTTTCATTATGTCAGATCAAGCATGTAAAACTGTGAACAAGAATCATACTCTTCTTTTTTTTTGCCAAAATTGAAGACCCAAGCAACACAGAATGCATGCTGTGGACATAAGCACCATTAACATGAACCCATCATAGTGCCACCAAGACTATTTGTTTTGACAAATTAAAACTATAATGAGAGATATTAATAGGCATGTAAACATAACAGCAAGTCTAACCAATCAATTCCAACAAGACCCACAACTTTATGCCCCAATGAATAAAGTTCTAGGCTTTTTAGAAAGCTACCTTCCATCTTCATCCAAAATTGTTTCCCCATTTCTTCCCCTATAATGCTGATCTGAACCCAACTCCCAAAGTGCAGGTTTTCCAGGCTGGGGCTGGAAATGCCCAAGGAATCTGTCCAAGGAATTATTATAAAAAATTATTTAAGATCTTATAAATAGCACAAATTTAAGAAATGAATTGATAAAATTACAAAAGAAATGTCAAATTGACCAAACTCCAAACAAAAAAATGTGAGCCTTTTATTCCATCGAAATAGGATGTATTAACCCAAAAAGGCAAAACTCATATGAACTTCAAATCTGAAGAACATGATACTCCTACACCATTCAGTGTTAACTGTTAAGTGAGGCAGCCATCAATTTTCACCCAAGAAGTAATACAAACACAAGACTGAAACTTACACATTAATTGCATCTTGTTTCTCTGCATCCATATATGCATTGCTATAATATCGTTGAAGAGTTCTAAAGAACTCCTGGGACTGGGTTGCTGCTCTCCACTGACCACGTCTCTCAGAGAATATCTGCATAGATAAAAAAAGAAAAGAAAGTCAATTGACTGAGGATTGTATTTAGAACTAAACTTCGACAGGCAACAGAAGTATGGTACCGGAATGAGTGTCTTAACTAACAACGCAATTAGCATATTCCATTCATCATCCATTGACAATCACTTCTCTGAGTACATATATAACAATCACATAAAATTTTCAAAAGGTTAGTTGATTTCTACTTTTTATTGTCTCAACTTAGGTGAAGTCGGATTATGCCTACCATAAATTCTCACTCTCAAATCAAAAAGAGAAAAAGCATGGAGCATAGAATACATTTAAAATTGGATTAACAGGTTGAAAGTCAGGAGTTTCAAACTCTAGGAAGAGGGGCAACCTTATTTCTATCAAAATTTGTCAATAATGCAATTCTTGAATAAATTCTTAAAAAAACTCAACTGTATAGAAGCCTATATCAATGACGTAAATATCCAAATTCACCACTAATAAATATTAAAAATATATATTTGGCATTGGCAGCTTCAACAAAAAAGAAAAAGAAAAATGCATACCAAATTTACTGAATCCAAAGAAGCCCATTCTATTCCAATTTTGGAAATTGCATATGGTTGCAAGTAGCATCCCAAGTTGGAATTACCTTATTGTGAGCTGCAGAACCACCATATTGGTGCGCAAGTGTGTCACCCATTCTCTCATAAAAACCCATTAATTCATCCGCCAAAGGATCATTAAGGTCTATCTTTGGGGTATCTTTAATCCCTAAAGCATGAAGCTGGTGTCCAAGAGCAGCCAATCCGTATGCATACTGTGCAACATTAGTGCGATCCAGACAGTCTATACAATTGGTCCTAAGCACACCTCTTTGAAATGTGGGAGGCTTAACAGAATGATTTCCATTAGCAACATTATTATCACCAGAATAATTCCCCTCCAATCTGTAAGCATCCTCATTAATATTGTTGCAATATTTCTGGAGTGAGATGTCTCCATCATCAATATTCCTGCTCATATTTTTTGAACCAAAATGCCATGTTCAACTCATAGCAAATACCAAAACATAAATCATCAATATTTATAACATGGCATTATTAAAATCCCACCACAATTACATTACTTTAAGATAAAAATGTCAAAGTAATTCATAAAGCCAAGTATTTACCTAATGCAAGAATCTAAGTTGTAACAAATTTGAACTACTAGATAGAGAGAGAGAGAGAGAGATAAATTGTAGTTAGTATCTGGACTACATTCCCTATTTAAAAGGATGTTTTGGTCTGTTAAATTACTTTTCCACACTAAAAGAATTGCAACTAAAAAGTTAATTACAACTAAAAAGCTAATCACAACCATATTTATGTACATTTCATATATTAAACGGGAAGTAATTGAAATATGAAAAACTTACTCAGAGGAAGGCGAAGCCATACACTCCTCAGGTCTCAAGGTTGATATCACCCGACAATAAAAGAAACCTGTTAGCGTTAATGCATATGCAGCCACTTTGCCCAAAAGTAGCAAAACATTTGTTGCTTTCCTGGAAGGAACAAAATTAGAAGTTTTTTTCTGCTGGTTAGGAATCAAACTCTAAAAGTAAAAATGAATTAACACCCAAGAGCAAACAGGAATGGATGCAGCGACAAAGAAAGGAAAATACACGTGAGTCCCAATACAAAATAAAAAGCTTAGGACATATACCTCTGAGAATGTTTGTGTAGATCCCAGTGAAGAAACCTCAAACGATTCTCTTCCGACAAATCTTTATTGATAAAATCAATCGCATTTGCAAACTCTTGACGAAGAATTGACTCTCGAGGCTTCTTCTCTTGTGTCTGCTCATCACACAAAAAAAAAATAATAATCTTATTATTAAATCAGTCATATCATAGAGCTACATCAACAAAGTACCCAACCCAAGTCCCCTTCTTTGTCCCTGTAGAAATGATACTATTTGAAGATTTTCTTCCGCATGCAATATCTTTATGAAATAGAGAAGTTTATGAAATAATGAAAGAAAAATAAAGAGATGGAGCAGTCTGATTCTAAAGAGGATAAAGAAGGCATACAGCAGAAAGACCTTAAAAAGATACAAGGTGATATTATGAAACTTACCTTAATCAAATTCAAAATAATTATAGGATTGCCATATCTCTTGACAAGATTTTCAAAATGAAGTTTGGTTGCTTCATAATTTTGGTCCTTCATTGACACTGGAAAAAGAGAAAAAGATTAAGTGTTTTTCTTTTTCTGAACAAAAGAAACATGCCAGCAGCAACACCTGAAGTACTCTCATAGATTACAGCACATACATATGATATCTGGTTTAAGATTCAATCGTGAGGTTTCTTGTGACCAAAAGAGTGGGATTGAGCCTCGATTCTGGACGATGGAAGTTATTTGTGTGGGAAGCCCATCAGGGACATCCTCAAAAACAATCTGCTCTGTCTCAACATCATTAGCTACTCTGCCTTTTTCATTTACTCCTCGTTTCAAATACCTAAATGCAAAATCAGAAGCACATGAAGACAAGAAATTTAAACCCTTAACCTTCCATACCTATATTACAGAAAATAACAACAGTATTAAGGTAACCAAGTTTGATTTCATCTCATGTAGCACTTCAATAACAAAACTAATCTTTTTCCTCTAATGGGGAACAACTTTCTTACCTGGTACCTGCAAAGTGTCGGGATCGTCTTGCAATGAGCGTAAGTTTGAAATCCCGTCCAGATACAGAAAGAGTGGCCTACAGTTTTACAGTTCAATGTCAAACTATGAAGTTATCCATCCATCTAATGAGCGCAACAGAAACTGAATAAAAAATTAGCTAATGGTAACTTCAAATGAGCACCGTCCTTGACCTGCTTAAAGAAGCCATACACCAATGCAACTGTCCATAGAGTATTCTGGAGGTGACTGCGGATCCCTCGAGTCAGGAACTCATTCCAAACAAACATTGTCTCATAAAGAACTTGGCCTGGTTCATTATCACACAAGTTCTTTTGAAGACTACGCAAAACATGGTGTGAATAGCTAAAGAAGAAGTCCTTTGTGAGATCCACTGTGCATAGAAGCTTCTTGTATCTAAGTAAAAAAATAACAATTAATATAAATTAAAAATATATATATATGCAAGAAAAATGCATAGCAGAAAAAGCACTTAGCTTAAAATATAAATATAAAGGAAGATAAGAGACATTTCAAAGGGCTCAACAACCAGCATCGAAATACAACATGCCAATAGTATTCTACTTATCACATTACAGAACAGAACATCATTCTACATAACATTCATGACTTCCTAGCAGTAAACAAAGTATATTGCAAAGAGAATAGAAGAAGACCTGTTCTCATTCTTAGAGTCGGTAATGCTCAAGTTAACAGTTGAATTTGGGAGGGGAATCATCTCACTCTTAGAAATTGCATATACATTGTGACCGCAAATCGCACCAATCCGTCTTCGTTTTGTAATAAGCAGCATATAGTAAGGCCCCAAAAATTTAATAAATCCTAACACACGAAAAAAAGATATATAATTAGATAAGCATTTGCACAGCATTAATAGTCCTCTAAAAAGTCATAAAAATTACAACATCCATACCAACAATTCCATAACAAGTGGTAATGAATTTCAATCCACCGGTGGGTTTATTTCCTTCATGTATTCGCCTCAACAACTCAGAACATTCACTCTCCGTATACGTGGTAGAATCTTCACGAATGATTAGCTCAGAAGGATCAAGCCGGTCAATCTTTAACACTCTCCAATAAGTTCTGCTCTTATCCCTTCCAATCATATAAAAATTCTGTACACAAACATCACAATGCAATTAGTAAAAATAAAATTTAGCCACTTAATTTAATAGTTCAACATTAAAACAACGTTCTTTTAAGTAAAATTACATCTAAAGTAAGTTACTAACAACAAAAATTAATGAGATCATGATGAGATCAAAGCAACAAAAAATAATAATTAAATGAAAACAGAAATAAAAGAAAAATTACCGATCGAGTTTCGTAGAGTCTGAATCTCTGCATACAGGTGGAAGTTTGAGATTGGAAGGAGCTCTCATTATTGTTAATTTTATCACTATTTTCTGCTGCGGATGATTCCATGATAAGCCTCTTTTTTCTCCGCTTTAATGTCTGGCTTCAGATCTCCCCCGAGCCCCAGGCTCAGGGAATTTATCAGAAGAGCATGCACTAACGACAGAACCTTTTTTTTTATTTATTTTCTGTTTCCGCTGATAGAAAATCCCATAACTTATTCCGGAATTACCTTATTCTTGCCAAACCACAATCGGTCCTCCTTTGCAAACAATGGAGCTTGGCTGCTTCAAATACAGCATCTTCTTCGGAATCGAAAAGAAAAAATAAACAATGAAATGGAAACTCAGAAAACCTGTCTATAGACGTTTGACCTTTGCCTTATTCCAGCTCCGACTATCTTTCCATTCACAACCAAACAAGACAAATGCGAAACGCGGAATTTCCCCAAACTCGTCAGAAATTTTTATCTTCTCCAATCACCGCAAAATCACAGAGATCGAACAAATTAAACGAGATTATATTTATTTTTATTTTGTGCAGCGGGCTAAAAATTAAAAAGAAAAAAAGAAAGGTTTATAGAGGAAGAGAAGATTGAGCTTGGGGGAAAAAAAAAAGAATAAAAGAAAAGAAAAGAAAAATAAAATAGATTTTCGCAGGTTCGAGAAAAAAAAAAAAAGAAAAAAACTTGTTTTTTGATATGAAAAAGGTTGCTGCTAGGTTAATATTAGTGATGATGTTATTGTTTGTTTAGCTTTGTTATAGCTGTTTTTTTATTTTTGTTTTTGTTGTTGAAATGTTTTGATGATGATGACGATGTCGCGTTTAAGATATAGAAAGAAAAGGGGAAATTAAAAAAATAAATAAAAATAAAAAGTCCTCTCCCTTCTTCTTCAGATCCAAAGAACAAATGAAAACCACAACTTCGATGACCGCAACATCATCGGATAATATTGCACCTTTGTTTTATAATTTTTTTTTTGGTAAGAATAACTTATTATTATTATTTCTTGAATTATGAGTTTAATAAATACAATATGTTGGCAAATAGTATTGGGATTTTATTTGATTTGTTTTTTTTTTCCGCTGACCTTGGTTAATTTAATTTAGAAAGGCCGACTCAATTAGTCGGTTAACATCTTTATTTTATTTATATCTTGGAATAGTTCTAATGCTTTTATAATCAAATTACTATTGTTGGTTGATTTTTGCTTTTAATAATTAGCATGCGCGCCTTGAAAAACTTTTTATTTCCTTATCTCTATTTATTAATTTTTTATTATAAAATTTATCTGATACAAAAAATTAAAAAAAATAAAAGTAACAATATTTAAGTTACCTCATTTTTTTAGAAATTTTATCTAATTAAAAAATAAAAAAAAGTAAAAAAAAAAGGGTTAATTGAGGGAGCAACATGAACACCTCTATTAAACTTAAAATATTAATTTTTAAATTAATATATTAAATAATAACTTTATTAATATAATTTATATAATAAAATTAATAATAAAACATATATTTATATATATACTCTATAATAGATTAAGATAAAGCACTTAAAACACGTTTCCGTCATAATTTCATTTATATCAAAAAAAATTTGACAATTCGAATTTGATTTCAATTCGAAAAAATATCTCCTAACAAATTGAGAGAGATTAAAATCTTTCGAATATGAATTGTTCATGCATTTCTGTCAATTAGCATATTTTGTTATAAAATTACAAAATAAAAAATAAAAAATAATTAGAAAGAAAAGAAAATCAAATGGAATGCCATGCAAAATTATCATTGGTATTTAAAAAAAATTAATTTAAAGTTAAAAATATATAAAACAAAAGCTCATTGGGGTACAACATGACATCTCAACTGAACTTAAAATGTTAATCTATTAAATTAAAATATTAAATAATAATTTTATTAATTATAATATAAAAAATAAAAAAATAAAAAAATAAAAAAATAAAAAAAAGAGAAAAAAAATCATTAAGGTGCCATGTGAAAATGGTTGAAAAAAAAAACCTAAATGGGAATGCAACATAAATTTATTAAATTATAATATTAAATAATATTTTTTATTAATATATTACATATCTATAATTAAAATAAATAATATACATTTATATATACTCGGAGGGATGAAATATTCTAAATTTACATTCAACTTAATGTCGATATTTGAAAAAAACTTCAACCTAATCTTAAATTGAAAAAAATAAAAACATATCTATTCAATATAAAAAAATCGAAATTTATTGAATATAAATCTAATACATAAAACTAAAAAAAAAAAATTAAAAAAATATTTTTAATTAATAATATCAAATGAGTTCCACGTATAAAAGCTTAAAGTATAAAAAAGCATTGATTAAATATTAAAAAAGAAAACATAAAAACTAAATAAAAAGAAAGGAAAAAAGAAAAGGTTTTGAAGCGGTACGTGAAATCTCTTAGAATTTCTACACATACGCACGATTTAAACTCTAAAACAAAGAAACGATGAAAAGAAAAAAGAAAAAAGAAAATAATGTCAAATGAAAACGATACGGAGATTTATTAAATTAAGGTTTAAATAATTATCTTATTTATATAATACATATATATAAATAAAATTAAATAAAAAATAAAACATATATTTGTATCACGAATTTAAAAAATAAAAAAATTCTGAAAAGGAAAGAAAAATCAAATCTTAATGTGACAACAACACATCCATAATATTTTTAAGAAAAATTATCGAATAAAAAAGTAAAAAAAATAAAAAATATATATATTTAATGAACAATATCAAATGGTCTTCACTTAAACAAATTTTTAAATATTCAAAAATATTTATTAAATATAAAAAAAAAAGATAAAATAAATAAAAAAATAAAAAGGAAAGAAAAAGGAAAAAAAGAAGCAAATGAATACTATTGGTATCAAGTAGGTCATACAAAAAAGTATTTAAAATCTTCAAAATAATTAACTTAAAAAAATAAGAAAATAAGAAAAAAAAAAAAAGCAAACATGTGGCATCCCTTTGATATCAAGTAAATTTCATACAAAATGAAATTTAAAATCTTTAAAAAATATTTATAAAAAAATTTGAAAAAATTAAAAAAAGTAAAAAAAGTGTATCCCACTTTTAAAAAATTTAAGTAAAATATATTTTTTACATATAAAAAAATTATTTAAAAAAGTTAAATTAAAAAATTAAAAAAAAATAAAAAATAACATTTTAGTTTACACATGACACATAGGTTAAACTATGTACAGAGCAAAATTTATCTAATTGATAAATTAAAAAAAAAAGAATTTGATAAAGTAAGTCCCATCCATAAAAAAATTAAATCTTTAAAAAAATATTTATAAATTTTTTTTAAAAAATCTATAAATTTTTTTTTAAAGTTCGGTAAAAATTTTAAAATATTTAGATAAGCAAAAAAAAAACCAAAAAAAAAAAAAAAGAGGGGAAAGTGCCGTATTGTACATCCAAGGAAAAGTATTGTGTAGAGTACATTTAAAAATTAATTTTTAGATGGAGAACAAATATGTTAAAAACTGAAGATGATGAGTGAGTTATTGTTTTCCCTCTTTTTAATCTCAATTAAGCAATGATCGTCAAAACTAGCACAAGGAAAAATGTCTATCCATTTAAACGAAACTTCTTAATATTGTTTCAAAAGCTAATTTTGTTCTTAGAAGGCAAGAGAGTTAGGAGATCACATTAACATTTAGTTTATTCTTTTACATTTGATGAGAGAAACTACTAAATATTTTTTGTTTATAAATTATATTACATAAAAATAAATAAATAATTAAATAATATATATGTGTACATTAGTATCCTATGATTATATATACTAATCAAGTTCAAATACCAAATTAAATTAACAAAATAGTTTTTAAGCTTTATTTTATTTATTTATTTTATCATAAGTAATATTTATTATAAAAATTATTTTTATCTTTTACTTGAAAAATAAATAAAATATGGACAGACCTAAACAATAAAATAAAGTTCATGTTTGAGATCGAATAAATTTAAACTTAAAACTTGTTAATATTTTATTTAAATTCGACTCAAATTTAGTTTTATCATGAATAAGTCTATGTTAGAGAAATTATCAATTGGTTACCATATGAAATAGAAATGGTAAAAAGGTGGTTAAGATGGTTTTGGCAGAGCGTGCTTGCACTCCTATGGGTTTTGTTCCTCGGTCTGCAGTTGAATAGGAGTTGGTGACAATAAAATATGGGTGGCGTGGCTGATGGAGGAGATTTTATTAGCTTTATGCGTGGTGTAACAATCAAAAAGCATGTGACCGGACGGGTCAATCAACAGAACTTGACTCATAAAGGCAGTCCTTTCGATTTGATTTTTCTTGGTTGCGTTGTGAACCATTTCCTTTCGCCAAATAAATTATATTAATTTTACTTGTTTGGGTTTCATGAGGCACCAAATTTTATTTTTTTTAATATATTTGATATTTAATAAATAATTTTATTTTAAAAATGTTGTGAGGTTTGTTTAATATTTTTTATTAATTTTTTTTTATATATTTTTTTAAATTAAATATTTTTATAACAAAATTAATGGATATGTAGATATAGCGTTACGGCTTTTTTCGATTCATTGTTTTTTTTAAGGTTTTATTTTTCAATCTATAATTAAATTTTATAAAAAAATTCGAATAAAGGAGTACATGCTAGTGATGGCTAAATAATTTGTACTTAACAGTTCTGATCCCATTCCGGTCCAATAAAAGTAAAATTTTTTAAATTGATGGTCGGAACTAGGCGGATCAGATTTTTTTGAAAAACAATTAGGTCAAATCAAGAGCAAAATTTAGAGTACTCCGATATAACCCAGGATATATATAAAAATATAATATATTTATATTAATAAAATTATTATTTAATATATTAATTTAATAAAAATATTATATTTTTATATAATTAAGATGTAATGTATATTAAATAAATAATATTTTTATAAATATTTTATTAAACTAAAATTATTAAATTAATTTTAAGTTATATATAGGTTCGACATGAATTATATATATATATATATATCGGATCAAAATCAAATATTTAAAATAATATATTAATGTCAAATTAGAGTTACAGTTGATAAAAAATTATGTCGATTCGATCTGTTTTACCCTTAATTCATTTGATATTTTTAATTTAAATTTTTTAATTTTTAATTTTTTTAATTAAATAAATTTTGTAAAAAATAAATCAATAAAATTAAAAATAAACAATATTTATTTGACAAGTTTCAATTTATCCTATTCAATATGTGAGTTTTTTTATTTAATTTGATATCAAATTAAATTTTTTTTTTTTCAAATAAAGATTAGACCGGAGATAAATTTAAGGTGTTACTCCTCACCTTAAGTATTTATAAATTGTTTTTATTATTTTATTTTAATTTTATATATGTATATATGTATTATACTAAAAATATTATTTAATATCTTGATTTAATAAAATATTATATTTATACATAATTAAGATATATTTTGTATTAAAATTTTTTATAAATATTATACTAAATTTAAATTAGTACAAATCGGATACATGTTATAAATATATATATTGTGTTAGGATTAATTATAAAAAATAATAATTTGATGTGCATTCACGATTGGAGTCAGATTAAACTATTAAAATAAGAGTTAGAATCTGAATAAGCACAAACGTGGTAGAATTTGATTTGTTGCTATCCTTAAATGAAGGTGCCTATCTACACTTCATTTAGTTTTTTTTTTCTTTTTTGCTTGGAAATATTTTTTATTTTTATTAGTTTATTTTAATATTTTTTATTTATGTTTGAAAAGACAAATGAATAATTAAAGAGAGACACCTCAATTTGGCTTTTTTTCCTTTTTTTTAGCCATTCTATTTGTTTTCTTTTTTATCTCTTTTAATGAGATTAATTTTATAATAAATTAGGTCAATAAAAAATATGATAATAAAATAATTTATATTTAATAAATTTTAATTTATCAATTTTACATAGAAAAT